GTATCAGCATAGTTATTGTAGCAACCAGGCACCTTGCAGGCAACATTATCCCCTAAGGCATTTTTCATTCTTTCATAGTGCTGTTCTGAGAAAAATTTAGGAAACAGACAGCGGTGTTGTGCTCCCGTTCCTTTTTCTATATATCTCATTCTCGCTGCTTGCTCTTCTCCTACACCGTAGGCATTGTAGGTCAATCTATTCCTTTCTGGATTTAGGGGAGAATATCATGGTCGTTCAATCCCTCGTGGCATGGTAGTTAAATTTTGGGAGGTCTGACTCAAACTAAACTCTCCTTGGTGGTTGCTCATGTAATTTACAATAGTGTCAGTAATAGTTTCTAATCCTTCACTATTAATCACTCCTCGGCCAACCGAATAACCATCAGCAGGACAAATAAAAAGGTTGTGAACTAGGTCAGTATGAAAATCAAAACCATTCCTAATATGTAAACAAATTCTTTCTGCTCCTCTTAAATCAACATTAATTTCACAAGTTCTTTCAATAAGTAAAGTTTTTGCAGGAGTAGTTCCTATAATTCTGTAATCTTGCACACCATAAGGCGTTTTTCTTACATTAGTAATTTTAACATGACTTCCCTTTATCAAAAATTCTTCTTCAATGGGACTATTTAAGATATTAGTATTAGCCTTAACTCCGACCTGGCTAATCTCATTATCATCCACTCTAATAACTTCTTCCAACTCAAAAAAATAAAGGTAGTTCTCCCCTCCCTTAGTACAGTTTCGAGTAATGTTTTTAATTTTAAATTCAGGGAAATCCATGTTTTTATATCTTATTGATTGGTTATTGGTATATAAATTGTTTTTATAGTTATAAACGTAAAAATAATATTAATTATGAATACCGATCAAAGAATTGAATTATTACCCTACGAAAAATACGAAAGAATTAAATTGCCATACGAACTTAATGAGTTGGAGTGAGTAGTTTCTTTTAGAACCATGTACTATCATTACCATATTCTTCACAAAAACTATGAACTTAAACTGTTAGAAACACTGTGCGGAAGAAAATTCGAGGAAGAGTCCGCCACTGAAAAACAGTTTCCGACACTGATAAAATTAATGGAAAACTTGGAACAATTGCCAGAGGAAATTAAAAAAAATGTTCGCTTTTTTGGTGGTGGACTAATTAATCACAATTTCTTCTTTGCTCATCTCACCAAGTTTAAAGTTCAACCCACTGACTACCAAGCGGAGAAAAGAATTAACCATGACTTACTAAACCTTATTCAGGAGAAATTTGTTAATCTTGAAACGCTAAAAAGAGAACTAGTAAAAAGTGCTTTACAAGTGCAAGGGAGCGGCTGAACCTGATTAGTGTTGAATAAAAATCGTGAATTAGAGATTATTAACACCGCGAACCAAAATGGAACGTGAACCTTGCATTTACGACCGCTGATTG